GGCCTGACTCATGACTCTGTGGTACTAGAGACTGGATTGTAATGGCTGTTGTAGTGTGCTACCGTGTGCAGTTAGGAGACTGTATCCTACTATGGCTCCATATATTCCTCCTCTGTCTTGAGGCAGCTGGCTTGCATTCTCTGATTGCTGGAAAATCTTCAATCCTAGTAAGTTAGAGGGTGGAGTTTTCTGTACTGGAGACACTACCACTAAAGCCCTGAACATTGTGCAGGAAAGAATCATTAATGTTTTTACTACGGTCAACCTCCAGACACTCTTATTCTTCTGTGTTCCTGGTTCCCATCCATACTTAGGAAGTAGCTTCTTTTATTCTTCTTGATGGGTTTTCTCTAATTATCGGGTCGTCTTTGTCTCTCTTAGAAATAACATTGATTCAGAAGAACGTGACTGTGAGAGGATCAGCTCTAGGAAACGGCAACGAGAGCCTTCCCCAAAAGAGGATGAGGAAGCTGAGCAGGACTACTCAGAAGCATTCCAACCTTCCTGCAGCCAGTCACATGAGTCAAACTACAGAGAAAAGAAGGCCAAAAGGTATTCAGAGCCTGAGAGAAGCCATCAGGCCATCGGCTATGGCAGTCAGGAGGACAAGGGCTGGGGCAGAGATTCCCCAGAACATTCCTCGGATCAGGAATACTCGGACTATGGACACGCTTTGTCACCTGAGCTGAGGGAGAGCCCTCAGGAACTGTACATGGATCACTCTGCCTCTGAGGAACAAGAGGCGGAGCAGATAGTGTTTCATCGAAAAGCTAATAAAGGCTACAGCTTCCAGGACAAGCTGGTGGGAGGCCAAGAAAGGAACCCAAGCGAACCCCAAGACAAAGGAAACCTGACTCGGAGCAAAGAGTTCAAGTCCTCACACAAGGAGAAGCAGCGATTGGACACCAAGGGGGAGGTGAGGACCTCGGCCTTTAGCCCAGAAAGACTACACAAGTCCTCTTTCAAGGAGCAGGTCCGAGAGGCTCCCTCAGCAGGTAGCAGCAAGGAGAAGCTCAGGACTTTAGATAGCACCAAGAAAGAGAAGAACAGAGAAAGTGGTGTCTCCAGAAAGGAAAAGTCACAATCTCACTTGGAGGAGGCTCTGGACAACCACATTAAAAAGCAAAAACACCGGGACTCTGAAAAAGCCAAACTGGAAAAACCCAACTTGGATCGGGAGAAACGGAAGTCAGAGGGTAACTCCTCAAACAGGAACAAAGAGAAAGGACTTTCTGGCAGCTTAAAGACTGAGAGCAAATCCAAAGCCTCTGACTTGGACAAAAAATCCATGGGTTTCTCACCGAGTTTTGGGGAGGTGGAAGCAGAGGATGAATATGAACAGCCTAAAATGTCCTTTGAATCATACCTCAGCTATGACCAGCCCCAGAAAAAGAAAAAGAAAGTGGTTAAAGCCCCTGTTCCAGCTCCTGAAAGAGACAGAGGGCATGGCAAGCAAAATGGGTCTAAAGCCAGTACCAAGAGTTCCGACTCAAGCCGAAAAAACACCAGTCACAAGCAGGCAAGTGAAAAAAGGGCAGAGAAGAAGCAATCTGGGACATCCAAACCAAAAAAGGTAAGATCTCAAGAGAGTCTGAATGTGAGCAAATGGTGGCATTGTAATTGGCCCCTTCCATGGCAGGCATCATCTGTGCTACTTAGCAAAACCCTGGCAGTAATTTATATTCTCTTTGCCATCGCAGATACTGAATTTAGCATAGGGCTGGTGTTCTGTGGGGCTGTGAAACCTGATACATGGGGACGTCCCATCAGGAACACCATGGGACTGCATTCTGGAATGCCTCCTTCTAAATGCCATTTCTGCTGCTGGGTGAAAGGATTCATCCCGCGCTTGGCTTCTTACTGGCGTCCTTGAGCATAGTACTTGATAGCTTATAGTGGTTATGAGGGATTCGTGTGTTGGTAAGTGCAGGGATACTTAGGAAGCTCATGCTTGTGTCCTGTGCTGAAATTGCCCTGGGCTAGTCCACCAATAACATGGGTAGGATTATTAAAATGAAAAAATTTGCAGAAGCTGATAGGATGTATTCTTCTTCTTTGTTCAGTTTTGTGTTTCCTCTTCCTCCAGGTACCCACTGATGTGATGCCAACCTTACCTGATATCCCTTTGCCTGCGATTCAGGCCAATTATCGCCCACTTCCCTCTCTTGAGTCTATCACCTTCTCCCAGACGAAGAGGAAAAGTATGTGCTGGTCAGAGGGTGGGGCAGAATCTTTAGGACTTGAAGAGTCCTTGCCTACTTTGGGGGGGTTAGGGGCGGAGGGAGATACTAGTATGATTATCCTCCATGTGTGGAATCCAATGTGATTAGAATTAAAGCTCCCCGTGATTAAATTTGTGTAACCTCTCCCTACCCAGCCTCAGAATCAGTGCAAAGCTCAGGGGACTGGCAGCCTTATATACTATGGAGCCACTGTTCTGCCTCTGGCAAGCACCAATACCTGGTCTTCCAGCAGAAGACTTCTTCCCCCCTACCTCGCCCGTTGTACATTATGGGAAGGATAGGGGAGAGCCCATCCTGACCCTAAAGCATGATCTTTGATTATCCATCCTTTGGTGCATGATGATTAGCTTGGTTCAGCCAACCTCTGCTGTGCCTCTGAGCCTTGTGTATTGTCCGTGATTGTCTCGATAATTGCTCAGAACTTGCTCTGTGGTTCATTAAGATTCTTAGTGCTCAGGTGAAACTGTGATTCTGGTCTTGTTTCTTTCCCATATGTCATCTGATCACAGCAGTGTCCTCACCAGTTGAGGAGGGTGAGGCTGGCTTTACAGGACGCAGGCTGAATTCCAAGATGCAAGTGTATTCAGGCTCTAAATCTGCTTACCTCCCAAAGATGATGTCTCTCTATGAGCAGTGCATCAGAGTTCTCAACAACAATATTGACTGTGAGTATCACTCCTGCTTTGCTGTCCCCTGTCAGTGTGAGGAGAGTTCTGTGTTTCTACTGACTTAGCATTCCACCAGTATGGAAACCTACTAATGAGTGTCGTGCAGCGAGTTGGGGAGGGAGCACCTGGCTTTGTGCCATTTATGGCCATATCACTTAGAACAGTGGTTCTTAACCTGTGGGTAATTACCTCTTGAGGGGTAATTTGATATATTTCAGGGGGTAATAAGTTTAAAATACAATGGGTGTTCAATTTTGTTCAACATAATGTGTGAAAACGAAGTACAATAAAAATGATTAATCATAATTTCCTTTTTGTGTCTTTCCATTTTAAAACGGAGGAGGGGTAATTTGGTTTATCAGTTAAGCTTAAGGGGTAACAGTGCCAAAGAGGTTAAGAACCACTGACTTAGAAGCTATGCAGGTATGGGTTATGCCAGTACTTGGATGAGAGACTTCATAAGAGCACAAGTGCTGCAGAAATTGGTAGCAGATGCTCTTGTTGTGTGACTGTACTGACCAATGCCCCAGCATATGTGTGGGGACCACTTCCCTGTGCGAAATAAGGCACAGAATTAGGATCTGATTTAGGAGGTGACAGGCCTTTGACCATATATGGTTTGATTATCCAAGGCTTTCTTTTGCAAGAATAGAGGTGTTGGGCCCAATGACTTGCTCAAATTCTGTTACCTGTAAATTTTTCTCTGTAGCTGGTGGATACAGTATATTTCCCTTCCCCTCCTGCTAGGTAATATTGCTGTGATCTTTTGCGTTTTGTGATGGCCACAGTGACCCCTGTGCATATCAGAGAGCTCTATTAAACACTTTCCCTCAGGATGAAAGCTGTCAGATAAACACTGCTGGTGTCTGTCTGTCTCTTTCTGTCTTATAGCAATCTATGAAGTGGGTGGAGTTCCTTTTTCGGTGTTGGAGCCCGTATTGGAGAGATGCACCCCTGATCAACTGTATCGCATTGAGGAATGTAATCACGTATGTGTCTCCAACTCAAAGGCAGGAGCTAGGCAGGAGGGGACTGTTGATGCTTCCATGCACGGGTAATGTTCTGTCCTCTGGGAGGAGGAGAATGTTCGTGAGAAGGGTTGGACCATGGCTGAAAGGCTTTGGGAGAGGTCCTTAAGGAGTCCCCCAACTCTACATTCTGGCCATGATTTATCCCCTCCCAGTGCATCTTGCTTACCCATCAGCAGCCAGTATTTCAGGTGTGACCATGGGGTCTGGAAGGGCCACTCTCCAATTGCTCAATTGGGGCAAACTGCAAAGAAAGGGGCAGACAATCCCCAAAACTGGTGGATTATTCTAATAATTGGATTGATCATACCAGCAACAAAACAGCTTCTGCAGTACCCTACTAGTTATCTGGAAGCCAAAAATACAGCTACTTTAAAGTAATCCAGCCTTGGGTTTCCATTCAGACAGCCAAGTCAAATATGATGACAATTAAAGTCTTGTTCACCATATAATATTCTGCCAGTCTCAAGGGATTGGACATATTGCCCACCAGGTCAATGAATGTGTCATACTTTACCCAATACACGCAGCCAATTTTCATGAACTAAAATAAGATTCTTTAAAGAGTGATTATGGTTAAAAGATCATTATGCATGTGAATATGAATAATGGTCTTAGGTCAGTTTCATAATAGAGATTTCATATTCTAGATTGCTGAGTTGCAGAAAGTTATTTTAGAATCAGTTCTATTGGTTCTAAGACAACAGATAGGATTTATACAGACTGTCCCTATGGGCTCCTTTGAGGAAACAGCAGGATAATCTAAATAGGTTTCCAGCTCCACATCTTTCAACTCAAAACCTCCTCTCATAAGGTTCATGCAGACTTTAGAAGATGGGCTCAGGCCCCAGTGTTCTTTAATAGATCTCTGGCAGGCTGTGATAACCTCTTGACATCAGATAGCATAGCAGGTATTCCATGGGTGAAGAATAGGTACTATGAGTTATGGCTTTGAAATAAAACCTCCCATTTCCCATGTATACACGAGTCCATAAGAACGTAAGTAATTAGTTGCATTCATCAGTATAAGGTAATTATCCATTCAAGTAATTCATACATGGTTTACTACAAACTCCAAGAGAAATATAGACAGTTATATTATTGCACCCAAGTCTCATCTAAATGTTAGTATTTCCTTTTGATCTCTAAAGTGCTACCAGACTATTTGTAACAGTAAAAACTTAAAAAACAACAGACTAACTCGGCTACCCTTTTTGAAGATTTTAATAGAACATAGTAACAGACAGAAAGAGACATTTATCATTGATCAATTAATAAGATCACATTGTGAAGTTTCTAACAGATATAGGTAAACAGATAAATACAATTCGTATTTACTTCTAATACTTTGAGATTACAAGCTTGCATGTCAAACACGCTGGTGTCTCTAACATGACTTTGATAACCATCTACAGCAAATGGCCTGGTTCATTTCTTCACTTGTCTAGTATGTTCTTAAAGGTTCATCTGGGTCACTTCATCCTGCTGACTGCTTAACTCTTTCTGGCTCATTCACACCAGGATACCCCACACCACAGATGAGTTATTTCTGCCAGGGATTACTGTAAAAATCAACCTTGTTTATCTTCTGTCTCTTGAAATCTGTATCTCCTTCATGCTCCCTTGACTTCCAGGATCTTTGGAATTTGGCCCTGAAACCAGTTTTCCTCCTTGGCCAGGCCACCAATTGAGATCTCTCAGCATGTGGCTGGCTTTTCGGCAGTGTGCAGTTGCATTAACAGCAAGAGGTGCAGAATGCTAGCTGGAGAGTCGAGCTGCTCTGTTATGAAGCTGGAAATGTTCTGGTTTTGAACTAACTGCAGCTGGTTCTGTCCCAGGCCTTTGGCACTGGATTATCTATGAAAAATCATATTTATTGCTGTGCACTGCAGAAAGCTGCTGTTGGGAGCACCAGGCACAGCTGCTGAGTGCGTAATTAGACTGACGAAACTCCCAGCCCTGGGCTCTGAGCTGGTGTCTCAGATGTCTTTCAGTAGAACTCCTAGCCCAATAATGGGCTTTCATGTATCCTGCTTTCTTGTAAGTCGTATTGAGGCCCTGCCTCCTGTTTACATAAGAATGACCATACTGGGTCAGACCAAAGGTCCATCTAGCCCAGTGTCCTGTCTGTCGACAGTGGCCAATACCAGATGCCCCAGAGGGAGGGATCACCACAGGTAATCCTCACGTGATCCATCCCCTGTCATCCACCTCCAGAGAAACAGAGGCTAGGGACACCATTCCTACCCATCCTGGCTAATAGCCATTGATGGACCTAACTTCCACGAATCTATATATCTCTTTTTTGAACCCTGTTAAAGTTCTAACCTTCACCACATCCTCTGGCAAAGAGTTCCACAGGTTGACTGTGTGTTGAGTGAAGAAAAACTTCCTTTTGTTTGTTTTAAACCTGCTTCCTATTAATTTAATTTGTTGACTCCTAGTTCTTATATTGTGGGAATAAGTAAATAACTTTTCCTTGTTCACTTTTTCCATATCCGTCACGATATTATAGATCCCTATCATATCCCTCCCCCAAATAGTCTCCTCTTTTCTAAGCTGAAAAGTCTGTCTTTTTAATCTTTCTTCATATGGGACCCATTCCAATCCCCTTGTCATTTTTTCTTGCCCTTTTCTGAACCTTTTCCAATGCCTGTACTGTATATCTTTTTCAGAGATGAGGTGACCACATCTGTATGCAGTATTCAAGATGTGGGCGTACTGTGGTTTTATATAGAGGCAATAAGATTTTCTGTCTTACCTCTCTCTCCCTTTTTTTAATGACTCCTAACATTCTGTTTGCTTTTTTCACTGCCACGGCACACTGAGTGGATGTTTTCAGAGAACTACCCACAATAACTCCAAGATCTCTCTTGAGTAGTTGTAGCCAAATTAGTCCCCATCATATTGTATATATAGTTGGGATTATTTTTTCTAATGTGTATTACTTTACATTTATCAACATTAAATATTAAATTAAACGCTGGGAGGGGGATTGGTGGTGAACATGCGAACCACTCCTACAGCAAGGTATGCTTGCCAAATCTGTTAGTACTTGGCAACTAACTGCAGTCTAGGCAGGAGATGGATTGACTTCTGCTCATGCTAGCATGTAATGGGTACCCTCTTTCACTCAGAGGCTTCAGCGTAAATCAAGGCAGAATTGAGAGCAAAAAGAAATGCCACCTTCCTTTTGTTTTCCTTGCCCTCCAAGATAACCAGAGAGCAAAAAACATTAGCTGTTTGCTTCCCTGCAGCACACTGTGATTTCCCACACACAAGAAGGATCATGCGTATGTCCTCTGTTAAAGGCTTATGGCCTGGAACTCGCCATAAGCTAATCCCGGTACTTCTGAATCCAGCTGGGAGATTGAAAAGTGCCTAGCTAGTAGTATAGACCCCTCCTTTGCTGCAGCCAAATTCCCAGCTTCACTTTCTGAAAGGCAACAGGGTTTTGACACCTCACCTTTGGGCTAATGCTCTGGCCCCTTGCTGTGATCATGTGAAATAGGTAACTTCCTCATAGGGAGAGAATAGGCTTATTTACTGAGCCTTCAGTGAAATTCTGCCTTTTTCCTAGGGTTAGGGTAAATATTGGCTGAGAGTAGGGGAAGGGCAGTGTGGCACAGCTATGTAAACTGGGATGAGCTGTGTGATATAACTACTCCTCTCAAGAGGTTCCCTATCTCATTGCTTGATTCATGTGTCTGGGACATGCTGGATTTGTGAACTACTTAATAGCACTACATTTTAATGATATGTGACGAGAAGCGGGCCCCGGGGTAGCATGTGGGTTAAAGGTCTGAACTTGTGTTCTCCAGAGAGATACCAGAAAACTCTGTCTGAGGTAACTCCTGGGTCCATTTCCCCAGGTTTTAATTGAGGACACGGATCAGCTGTGGCACAATCATTGTGTCCGGGACTTCAAGAAGGAAAAGCCAGAAGAGTTTGAGTCCTGGAGGGAGATGTACCTTCGACTCCATGATGCCCGAGAACAGCGGCTGCTCATGTTAACGCAGAATATCCGCTCAGCTCATGCCAACAAACCCAAAGGTAAAGTAGGGGCTAGGTATATGGAGGCAGCCAGAAGGGAGAGGGACCAATGAATGAGATGGGGTGTGATCCTTCATGCTGGTGTGAAAAGGGATGTCCATTGAGATGGCTGGTTCAAATCTGGCCCATGTAAGGAGTTGGCTCAAATCACTGCTGGCTGAGTGAGGAGGCCATTTCAGTAACTTTGTAGGCCTCAGCTCAGCTTCCAGGGGATTTGTTCCCATAGCAAGCCAGCCCACTATCCCTCCTTGCTGGGACATCAGATGCCACAGAAACCGAACTCTTCTTTTGTTCCTAGCGCCGTCCCCCGGGTTGGGACTGAAGCCTGTTGATAGGGTACGCCAGGGTTGTGGCTACATCTGTTCTGAAATTTCCTTGCCACAGATCTATTGGTCTGGCCTCTCACTGGCAGAGGGTCAGGGAGGAAACTCTGCCCCGTGTAATGGAGTAAAAGCAGCAATGGGCAACCAAGAATAGTGAGTGAGTTTCATGAGTGAGCCTGCATCTCTCTGTGAGCCTCGTGACCTGTGGTGAGCAGCCCACGGTCCACTGGGTTCCATCAGCACACCCTCTCGCACCCCCTTCCCCGCACACTCGGGCACTGTAGCTCTGCACTTCCTACTCCTCTCCCTCCCTCCCAGCACTGTTGGAGCACCACAAATGGCCTGATTTGCACTCTGCTCCCTCCCAGAGCTTGAACAGCTGTGAACAGCTCATTTGTGGTATTCCAGCTCTGGGAGGGAGGGGGAAGAGTAGGAAGTATTGGACTCCAGTGCGTGAGAACATGTGGGGCAGACAGCGGGTCTGTGGGCCACAAGTGGCGCTCCAGTGGGCTGCATGCAGTCCACAGGCCACACAGCCACCACTGAGCAAAAGGGTGAGGATGTAGTGACTGGTGTTTCCACCAGGGAGGGTGGAGGCTTAGTGTTTTGTGACAGTTCAAAGGACTCACTTTGTGACTGAATCCTAGGGAAGGTGGTAGTGGTTTCTCTCTCTGCAGGTAGAGTGGCCAAGATGGCATTCGTCCATTCAGCAGCAAAGCCCCCTCGGGATGTGAGGAGAAGACAGGAAAAATTTGGAACTGGAGGAGCTGCTGTACTCGAGAAGATCAAGTGAGTCTTAAACCTTCCCCACCTGTCTGTCTGTTCAGGACCTATCCTTGGCGGCTTGGCAGTGGGAGAAATGCAGCAGGTTATTCCCTGAGCATAAAGAATCCCTCCTGTCTTATGAAGGCTAGAGGAAAGGGGCCAAGAAGATTGAGGATTCCCTCTTGCTGTAACGAAAGGGGAGGGACAGTTTTGCCAGTCAGTAGCAGTAGATGGCATGTGTATGTCTACAAGCCTGTGTCTCGTCTGTCAAGCTCTTGAGTTCAAGCTTCCCCAAGTTCCTAGTTGTCTTCAGGAGTAACTTAGGCCATCAGTTTTGGCAAGAGAAACTGGAAACCTGCAGCACAGGCTTGGGGTGGCAAAGAACTTCTCAGGTTCCCTCTCTCTGTGGAATATTACTTGGCAGCCATTGAACATACTGAAATCCTGTACTTTTGCAACATTACAAAGATTGAGAGATGTGATTTTTGAATACTGTGTAGCTTTGTGGACTGGAAACTTCTTACAGTTGTGGTTTAAACTTCATCACAACGTAACGCCTGTAACCTCAGGTATGAATATGACTATACTAAGAAAATTGTTAATCCATCCTATGTTACATTCACATTTTATGTGTTGAAGTGCAGCATAATAATGCAGAAATTACTCACGTACTAAAAACTATTGCAGAGGCAGGACATTGCTCCTGGTGGGAAACACTATTAGAGTGGTCACCTTCTGCAACAGGGATGCTAAATATAATGGTTCACCCCATTGTAGTAATCTTTGGAATCCAGTTGGCTTTATTAGTGAGTATAATCGCTTTGGCTTGCTGGGCGAAGAGAATTGTTCGAAGGATACAGGAAGCTGGCATGCAAAGTCATAGATAAGGCCCTTGTTAATAATACCCAGGAAGTGAGTCCAATACTCAGTTACCTGCACCAATTTCTCTATTCCTTCCACACTTTAGTGACACACACCTTTACCCAATTCCTAAGGCTCAAGGTACAACTCTGTTAATTTAAACACCCATCCTTACCCAATTCTTAGGGCTCATGGTGTAACTTCCTGCGGGTTTGCAGGATCTTTTGCCACCGAAAGAGCCTTACACAGTAATATTCTTATCCTCTATTTATTGACAATTCTCAAGCAAGCAGAATACACATGCTAAGCACACAGTGTCGTGCTCACCAATCCTGATAAAGGCAGGCAGACTTCCCTTGTTGGCCAGGCAAGGTCAGTCTTTCTGGATCTTAGCTGCTGCACATCAGTCATGTAGAGGACGTCTGGCAGCTCTGGTCTTAGGCTGTATCCAGGGCCAGCTCAAGCCATTCCTGTGCCCCTGGTGCGCTGCACACCTTACAGCTGCAGTCGGGCGTGCGGTGCCTGATTGCAGCTCTAAGGGGTGCCACGTGGCCCCCGGCCCCGGATGCGTGGCATCCCTTATAACTGCCATCAGGCGTCCCCCATAGGTTGGCGCCCTGGGCAGCTGCCCGGCTAGCTCCCCTCCACCCCCCTTAATCCAGCCCTGACTGTATCTTGGAGGTGAATTCTTCTTCCAGGTCTTCCCTCCTCCTTCTTGGTGTTCCTTTCTTCCTTTCCCCTTTTCCTTCTTCTTGATGGTCTCCAGTGTACATAGTGAAACTTGAGGCCTGCTTAGCTATACCGTAACCAGTTATCTTAGTATAATTGTACTAACCCATCATAACATATTGTAACAGAATTACCTAACCAATCATACCCCACCACTTTAGTTGATTTACACCTAGCAAAATTAATTATACAGCAGACAAAAACAGTTACAAACCAGACAGAGATCACCCAGACAAATAATAGGAAAGTGAGGACAATAATCATAAAATGTGGATTCCACAACCACAACTATTGGTAAACCGTTTCTTGCCAGACAAAATGCTGTTAACTAAGTTTTCTCTACCATTCTTAATATCTATTACTTTATTAGGTGATAGTGGGTGCTATTAGGACAAGATCTCCTCCTCACAGCCTAATGTGACACACTCACATTCCATCTAAATGGCATTAAAAGAATGTGACTCTAAGCTATACAGATAATGACTGCTGTTCTTCAGTCTGGCTGCAGAAGAAGGCTTTAGTTTAGGCCTTCCAATATGGCTACAGAAAAACCATATTGTTACAGTACATGATGCTGAGAGCAGCTTGGGCTAATGTGCGCGCCCTGGTCTGGGAGCCATTTTTAATCTTGTCTTCTCTACTGCCTGACTCTAGCTTTGGACACGTCACTTAATCTCTGTGCCTGTTTCCCTAATCTGTGAAGTGGGGCTACTGATGCCCTGTTTGTTGGGCCCTGGAGATTAATTGTTTGCAGTATAGTAAGTGCAGTTCAGCCCTGCTGCTGGGGATTTCCACCTCAGGCGTGCAGTAAGTTGTGTGGTTGGGACAGAGAAAATCAATGCAGCCCCTACCCAGGAGTGTTTGGCATTGAATTGATTCCTTCATTGGAGCTGTTTGACTATCCTCCATATTTCTCTGAATTGCAGGATAAAACCCGTCCTTTTCACACCCAGTAGGAGTTACGCCCAGGTGGATGAGGAGCAGTCCTATGATGGGCCCAGCACTAGCAGTGCCCATTCTGGTCCATCCCCAGGCAGCACCACCTCTGGCTATGACCCCAGGAGACCACCAGTGAAGAGTGAGTTATGTGGATGTCACTGCTTGCACTAGCTATTTCTAGCTGTCATTACAATGGGCACATAAAGCTACTTGAACACAGACTGCTCATATGTGGAAGAGATCAATACAGGTTTTGCAGTGAAATATTCTAGAGAGGGGTGTTCCCTTTCCAGCCCTCCTTTTAAAGGGAAGGGTGGAAAACCTGGTTCAAATTGCTTGCAAAGGTTTAGAAATAGTCTTGTGGTACAGATATTAGAGTAGGAATGGAGACTTGGGTTTGTTATCCTCTTCTGCCATATATTTGTTGGCAGTCTTGGGGAAGTCACTTAATTTTTCAGCCTCTTGTCCCCATCTGTTAATTGACAATACTGACTTGTCTCAGAGGGATCTTGCCATGGATAAATTCCCATATCTATGTGGTCAGAAAAATTTAGCAGTGGCAGATGGCATCGCTAAACCAATTAATAAAAACAGGGAGGAATTTAGTCCCAGATTTAAATGATGATGGTCATGGACTGACCCCAGCCCTGAGTATGTTCAGCTCAAAATGCAAATCCCACTTCTTCTTTTGTTAATCTTCCTTTGTTAATCTTCTGATGGAGAGGCAGGGCAAAAGTGGAGAGAGGAAACTAGTGGGG